CAGCCCCAAACCTTGGCCCTCTGAGCCACCCCCCCCGGGACGGGGGGTCTTACCCGAGACGGAGACCCTCATGATGGCCTCCAGCGGGCGGTTGTTGTCCAGGGCCGGGCTGAGGCGCAGGTCCCCGCTGCGGGGGTCCAGCAGCACCAGGTTGAGCTCGTTGCCCTGCTCGAAGGCGTAGGTGAGGCTGTCGGAGACGTCGGGGTCGTGGGCCGGGATGCGGCCGATGACCCCCCCGGGGAAGCTGCCTGAGCGGTTGGTGATGTAGTTGTTGAAGAGGATCTCAAAGTTCTTGAGTTGGGGGCTGTTGTCGTTGGCGTCGCGAAGGCGGACGTGGACGGTGGCCCGGCTCACCAGGGGGGCCGAGGTGGCTTGGACCACCATGACGTACTCCGCCTTGGACTCGTAGTCCAGGTCGGCCAAGGCAGTGAGCTCGCCAGAGAAGATATCCAGCTGGAAGACCTCGGGGATGTTGCCCTCAACGATCTGGTACATGATTTGGGCGTTGGTGCCCTCGTCGGGGTCGGTGGCCGTGATCCGGGCCACCACCAGCCCAATTGGGCTGTTCTCCTCCACAAAGATGTCGAACTCATCCCGCTCAAAGACTGGTGGGTTGTCGTTGACGTCCAGCACCGTCACTTGGATCTCCACTGGTGTCCGCTTGGCCGGGACCCCCTTGTCAACGGCAAACGCCCGCAGGGTGTAGAGTGGCACGTTCTCCCGGTCGAGGCGGCGCAAGGTGCGGATGATGCCCGAGGTGGACTCGATGATGAAGTCACCGTCGCCATCATCACCTCCTTGGAAGGTGTAGAAGACCCTGCCGTTGAGCCCCGAGTCGCGGTCAGTGGCTGAGACCTGGAGGACGCTGGTGAAGGCGGGCACGTCCTCGTAGATGGAGCCCTGGTAGGAGTCACGGAGGAACTGGGGCGCGTTGTCATTGACGTCGCTCACCAGGATCTCCAGGTAGGTGGTGTCGGACTTCTGCGGGATGCCGTTGTCCCGCGCTGTGATGGCCAGGGTGTAGGACACCTGGTCCTCGTAGTCCAGCTCCATCTGGGTGGTGACAGCCCCCGTCTCGGCGGTGATGCGGAACTGGGGGATGCTGTCCTCCATCAGGTAGGTGATGCGGGCGTTCTCCCCTGTGTCCTCATCTGTGGCGCTGATGACCACCACCGTGGTGCCCACCGGCCGGTCCTCGTTGACATTGACGGTGTAGTGGGAGCTCTGGAAGACGGGTCGGTGGGTGTTGGCATCGGTGACGTTGACGACCACCTGGGCGGTGTCCTGGCGGGTGCCGTCGGAGGCGGCGATGGTGAGGAGGTACTGCCGCTCCAGCTTGTAGTCCAGGGGCAGGGCGAGGGAGATGAGCCCACCGCCGCTCTGGCTGGTGG